AACGCTGGCCCCGAACATTTTCGCCACCAGTTTCCTGGGTCCTACTTGCGCGTCCCTAGTTGGACTTCTCGGGTTTTCTTGTGTATGTAATAGGCATATGACTGTATCTATATACCTAACTTGAATACCTGTGTATCTATAATTACATGTTCCTGCATTGGGAAGTCCCGCCAGCCGAGGCGGGCGCGCGCTGGCGTTTACAATTACAACGGTGATCATGTTAGGGTCCTCTTGTATTCCTACTATACGGACCACCATTACAGGGTCGGGGATCTATCTAAACAAAATCCATCAAACCCTGACTTCAAGATTAAAGCCCTTAGGCCTCTAAATCCAAAACTCTAAACCCTGGATCCTTGGATTCAATAAACCTCTCGGCTAAGGCTCAACCCCCCTAGGATCCTCGAAGTACACCCTGAATGGAGTGTGGGAACCCACCCATCCCCCGGTCCCTTATGAAACCTGGTTCTCTCCAGACCCCCAAACAATAAGACCCGTATTGTCACTATCCGAGATGGGGGACGGTATAGCCTTGCCACACGTATCCATCAAAAATCGGCCTTCTGGGGGACCAACTGACTGCAGTAGTACTCATCGAACAAACTATAGCTATCCAAGACTAACTGCCACTAACAGCAAGGAGAATCGCGGGTCCTGACTTCCCACCACGTCCCAGGTATCAGGCCCTGCAACATCAGCAACACTCAGGGTTCTGCAGTTCGCGGTTTGCTCATGTTGGGCGAGATTATGAGAGATCTGAAACCTTCTGAAGTGGGCTCTGACTCGCCGATGGCAAGGTCATTTCCGGGAAACAAGTAATGTCATGTCATATGCCCTAAGGTGCTTGGTTCTCAACATTCTTCTGAACCTTTTTGCTGCGGGTGGAGATTAGAGGGCCTTTGTAGCCCAAGGTTTCAGCAGGCAAGCGCAAACAGCTGTTGAATAGCTAGTCTTTCTTGTGCGAAACCTATGCTATCTGGGCGGTTAGCTTGTACCGCCGTAGAACTTCATTTGCGGCTGCAGACGGGCAAACCGTGAGAAACGAACCGTCAACACCAACTAACAACTTTGGCATTGCGATTGCTGTTGGGTGAACGTCGTCCTACTTCTCACGTCACTCACGCAACCACTACTGCTTATACGACCATGCTGCAGGAAATTATGACGGTGGTGATGAAAATGAGATGTACTCAATCTGCATCCTCTTGAGATTCACTGGAGGTATCATGGCAGTAAAAACACAGGAACTACCATGATCCTCAGTATTCCATTCAATGACCCACGGCCAGCGCATGCGTCAGAAGAATTATTATCGATATGCGAGCATCGCATGGGAAACCATTGTATTGTCCCGAAAGTGGTGGGACCGTTGCAAATAACCCCTGACCCGAAATTTGAGAACCCCCATCAAATCTCCAAAAAGGCTTACTGGATCCTCCTGCAACCCAACAGTATCCTTACCAAGCACTCCCAAAAAAGCGCCTCTATGATCCGTCATACAAAACCTTTTGTAATCCTCCCTAGCTCTCCCGCGCCTTGATTGCCTGACTGGGGATTTGCCTGAGCTTCTGAGATCGCTAGGGCCTTGGCAGGGCGGCTTATTCGATCCTTACGCGTCAGGATATAGACAGGGTTTAGGGCTTACTGTAGTTCTGGGAATCTGTGGGAACTGAGTTGGGGCTGCAGGTTTGGGGTTTGTGCACAAGACGCTTCTTAGCATGGAACAGAAGGATCTGCAGGAAGCGAGATCACGAAAGGCCACACAACAGTTCCAGATTTGGGTTCAATGCGAGGGTTTCAGGATCAGCTAGTCAAGTCAATGGTCGATCTGTCTGACATGGCCTTGCAAGACTCGCAACAAAGCAAAATGTGCTGCCATGTAGCCATCATGGCTTGCAAAGTTGGGCTCTCAACCTTCAAAGTGATAAGCGCTCCAGTGCAACGTTTCTTACGCACAAGCATTGGCCATTTCAACACGACTTGAGAACGCCAGTTCGAGCTGGGCCTTGTCGGTTTGGGTGCAATGTAGCGTGACAAGATGAATGGAGTGCCTGGGGGTGGGGGGGGTGGGGAGCGGGGTCTCAACAACTTGGATTCTGAAGGATCCTGCTTGAGGCGTTGGATGTAGGAGTTTCCACAAAGACGCCTTCTAGACCCCCCCCAAAAAAAACAGAGAACCCCTATTGCCTTATTGTAGGTGCCCTCAAAAAGGGACTTCTGATTTTTGGAAACTCCCATGCAGGCGGCGCACCCCCGGGCTGACGTATGAATCCTACTGCCCAAGCGCACAAGCATGGGGGGGGTGACTCTCGGTAGGAACGAGACTGAAAGGAAAACACCTCATCACTGGCAGTTGGCCAAGCTCTGCTTGCATTTTGCACGCATGCGTGTAATTTGATGCACCTCCAAACTGCATTAAACCCGAAGCCCCAATTGTCTACCGTAATGAGGTCTACGTACTTATTGGAAGCCACTGCAATTCTAGCCGAGCGACACGTTTATCGTCCTGGCAAGTTACTGTGGAACCCGACAAATAGTTCGGGAGTGGTCGGGTTTCAAAAAGCAGGGATCCTTGTGGGAGTCTTCATAATAAAGAGTTTTCTACCTTCAGAGCTTTTGGGAGACCCCAGCTTTGGTCATGCCCAACGCATGTTGGGGCTCCGACTCTAAACATCAACAGTTTCAGAGTTTGGGCTCCAGAGCTACCATGCTTTTAGGCCAAAGGCTCTTCAACCGTCCCTATGTTTCCCTGACATCCCGGGCTTTGCATGAGAAGCACCATGATGCAAGGGACCTCGTGCCATGGATCTTGACTTTTGAAATTCTGAAACACACTTGGTTGGAAGTTGTAAAGCATACTGGTCGTGCCTGTTGCTGAAATAATCGTGAACCTCCAAGACAAATCCAAGTGGCGAATCCCACTGGAGCAACCAGTGCTTTGGGGGCAAATGAACCAAGCAAAAGTACTAATATATTTCCAGCACAAAGGACTACAACTAAACAGCTATCATATTCCCTAAGCCCTAAACCCTGAACCCTAAACCCTTCAAAATGCTACTGGCTGCCTACCTCAGAAGGCTTGCCACCGCGGGCATTCTGGGCCATCCTTGGCATCGGCGAAGGGCTCCGGAAAACATGAACAGATAGTCTAAACTCCTAGTATCCCCCTTAAGAACCACTATAGTAGGCCCCTATAAAATTCCCGATATAACCCCCTTTAAGGAGTTTAGACTATAGCTCGTATGATATGACGGGATATTATGGGATATTACGGTATATTCTGGTATACTATGGTACATTATGGGGGGGACATTGAAGTTTCCAAGGGTCGTTTTTGCAAGGTCCCTAGAATCGGGAAATGTGTGTGTGAATATACATATACATATGTTGAATTATGTTGATTGGGGCTATAGTGGGGTTGCCCTGGTTCATGGAAATGCCCATCTGGGAGACATGCTGTGCGGTTCCCAATCTTTGCTGTTGGACCCCCAACATGGCACGCGCCCGACACAGATCTTCCTGCCCAGTCACCAGGGAGTCGTAATGTAGGGCACTAGCTAAGTAGAATAGGATTTCGGGAGATATCATACTGCAACAGCACTTTGGTCGTTCCCATCTAAGACTACTACAATCAGAGGGTGTTGTGCCAGTGGGATGGAATTTACATGAGGGGTAGATACCCTCATAAAATTCACTCCAGCGTCGCCGTAGCCATTGTAGCCCAAGCTGCCTCAACCCTAAACTTTCACAACCCTCAGCCCTAAAACCATAGAATCCGTTGACTCCACAAGCCAAAAAACCCTGGATGGTAGTTTCGCCAAGAAGGCTACTCCAACAGAGACTCCACTCATTACAGGGACCCCCAGAAAGGTACGGCTGATTTTGGCAAATCCCCAAATGAGCTTCAGGCATGGCTTTCATCTTCTCCTCCATGGGGGACGGCATGGTCACCTTGGAACATGTGGCAGGGTTTGGGGTTTAGGGTTTAGTGGTTGCGGATATTACTGCAACAATGAAGGACACTCCTACCCCGTGCTTCCTACCACCCACTGCGTGGCTTCAAGCTTGATACTGCGGATGAAAGTGGGTTAGTAGGGAATATGGTATATAACCCCTATATAGTATATTCCCATATTCCCTACTATCCCCCAGCAGATTTTAAGCAGCCTCACTTCTCAGATACTCTTCCCCAGCAGCAAGGATCCGTTTTTTGGAGCTCATGTTGCATGTAGGCTGGTCTTTGGCCCACAGCTCGCTGGTGCCTAGTCTTACTGGTGTAGTGAAGAAGTGGATTGTCGAGGCTCTTGCTTACTATGAGGATTTATTTAGGAACTACCATAATTTAAAGGGATCCATTCATCTATGATGTTCCCTACTGAACACCAGTAAGTTTGGCCCAGGCTCCATTAAGCCTAATGGGCTCTGCCATACAAGTTGCGCCAGACCGAGGGTGCTGGGGACTGAGGGGGCTTGGCTGAAGGACCTTGCTGACCTTCAGCCCGAAATGGGGAAACTGCGTCTCTGTGACATGAAAAGCAATGAGTCGTATCTGCTTCCGTGTCGAGGCCAGCGAGGTCAAGGTGCACCTGCTAGGAGTGAGCTAAGTGCTATTTTGAAACTTGATCCCATGAAAGTTCTGTCAGAATGGAGGGCCTACTTCTGATTCTGGGATGCTGTCGGGAATACATTTGAGAGAATCTCCTACCTGCTTGTAGATGGCCTTGACAATTCCGAGCATGCTGATGAACATGCTGATGTTGAACTGAGTCGCGGCTGCATTGCTCAGGGTAGTAATCGCTGCGCCTTGGATGAGAAGGGACAAGAAACTCTCTGTCAGCTTCTCAGACTGCGTGATCCGGAGGAGAATATCTGTCTGGTATCCCACTCGAAGGGACTCCCTGATTGCAGAGCCGACGGCGCAGACTCCAAATCGCAGCTGCTGCGCTAGACTGAGAAGAAGCACAGTAGCCTGACAAGCCGCCGGAACATACTGCTTGCTTTGCACCAAGGTGGATAAACAGCTGATGTCGAGCAATACGTCGAGAGCCAAGAAGCCTATGTCCAAGATGATCCAGGCCTTCGACATGCAACCGGCACTTCCCGAAGCTGTGGAAGTCATCTTCTGCCTCTCTGCTTGGATCTGGGAGCGCAGACGGTCGGTGTCGAGATTCCTGGGGAGGTTTGCAAAAAGTTCCATTGGGGATTCTAGGGATATATGAAAATCACACAAAAAACCATGAAGATGCCAATGTAGGATTCTGCTTTTGCGAAACTCCCTCCTGGCAAGCAGGCATAAGTACAGTGAAAGCCACACGGGCGGCGCCACTACAGCACAGAGGACCACATTCACCCGCTGCAGCACGTGTGGCGCCCCATCCAAGGTGGTTGAGCAGAAGATGGGCCCTACACTGTAGCAGAGGTTGGTGTGGATTCCGGCCCACTGGGTGCAGTGACATGCCTGGAGCTTGATGATGCAGGCATTTGTTCCACTGCCGTATTCTGCAGCAATCAGAGCTTCTCGGCCTGCACTTGTGTGGCAGGTGGGAAGTATGCAGCCTGATGCCTGGGCAACTTCTGCTTCTGACTGCGAGGGTAGCTCATCACACATCAGGGATAGAGTGCTCCACTGAAGGCACAAGGACAGGAAGGCCAAGCTGGAGAGCAGCACCCGGAAGGCTCCTTCCCAAGCACATCGTAGCCCAGTCTTCACTTTCCCTTGAGACAGCCCGAACATGGATCTGTGGATGCTGGCCGCCAGGAGGGCAGGCTGCTTTATGAGCATGCAGAGCGGCGTCTTCTGAAGCAGCTTCATGAGGACTAGAAGCAGGAGCCCGCCTATGTAGATATACTCATTCATCAAGAATGGGATGACCAGAACTCCGAAGCCACTTAAGATCTCGAACATCAGGATCCACCACACAAGCCAGGACAGGAATCTGTAGTTGTTCTTTAAAACCGTCTCCACTGCCTTTAGCTGCAGGGCCAGGGGCAGCTTTGCTGCTGGCATAGCTCAGACAGCTTCTTTGGAGACCGTGGCAAACCCGAGCTTCAAGTATAAGGGGTCCCCAGGCAGCCAGGGGGAGATGGGCCAAGGGTCAAGGTTCAGGGTGTAGGGTTTCAGGTTTAGGGTCCCGGGCTTAGGTTTAGCAACCTGAATCCGGTGATGACTGCCTGGTGCTTAAAAGTCCATCAGGAATAGATTTGCAGTACCTAGTGCTGGAACTGATTTCGTGGCCACAGTAAGGGTCCGCTTCCTCTTCCTACTAAAACCCTTCCCTCAACAATAGACCGCCTTACCACCTCGATGAGATGTTTGCCAAGCGATAACACCATAAAATACAAGAATACTTGTCATTACCCAACGGCGGTGAAGAGGTTTGGAATACAGGGGGGTATTACGTAAGTGCCAGCAGGTACACGGATGAACTTGCTGACCAGCAGTCTCGAGCCCGCAGAAGCTTAGCAAAAATGATCCAGCGCCAGTTCATAGTCAGGGTTTAGGGTTGAGGGTTTTAGGGCGAATCCCTATAACAATCCTTGTAGACTTGCTCTATGATAACCCGGAAATCTTATTTCTTCATTCCCTGCTAATCGTCAGCACGCTCGTGTCATGTAATGAAATGGAGCACGAAATATTTGGGGTTGCTCTCTGGGAACCCAATTGGGATGACAGCAATTATCGGCAGTAGAAGTCACTTTGGGCAACTCCCATATGATAGGTCAAAAATACTTGGCTTGCCGAAAAGGATCATACTTTTGACAATCTGGAGGGCTGCTTTATGCAAGCTTCGTCGCTTATGAAACCCCCCCACCGCCTGGCATGGAGAAGTCTCTCAATGCACAAGGTCTCTTGCACAGAATATTTCAGATCAGCAGGAAATGATTTGTCAGTCCTGAGGCCACCACAGTTGGCTCAAGGCCAAGATAATCCCAGCTAAAGCTACTAAAATCTCTTGGCAGTCAGAAGCTCGGAAACTTTCCAAAGTGGAGTTCTCTGCGGAGCTTAACGGCGGTAGTGCTGGGCAATGTGTCTTTTGGGCAACCAACTTCAACCAGATTACTACGTACTATGGCTATTACTATTATGACTATTACTAGTCTTATTACTATTATTACTGATGATCTCCGTTCGCTAATTGCTGCTCTCCTTCTCTTGAAGATAGGGCGTGGTGCCATAGGAGCCTCATCATGAAAACAGGGCTGACCGACTGGGGCCTCGAGAGCGGCGGATGAGCGGTGTTTCGAATGGGCAGTGAATGGCTACCAGGGCTTAATCGAAAAATGGAAGCAACTAGAATGGAGAATCAAGGGGAAGGTTAGCAGCATGAACCCATTCAGAGGTGGCTCCCTATGCCAAGGGATAACAGGATTTGTGGTGGAGTTAGGAAGCCCAGTTCTGAAGCGCTTGCAGAATCATGCATCTTGCTTGGAGGGTCAGAGGGACTGAGTAAGTGGGTTGATAATGGGGATAACTGGGCTTATGATTTACCCCTTAGAGGTATTATCGAAAGCATACCGACTAAATCCCCCTGGCCCTCCAAGTGCTTGGGGCCTAGCAAGGCAAGCTCGATCCTAGGGGGTTTAGGGTTTAGGGTGTAGGGTTTTGGGGTGTAGGGTTAGGGTTTAGGGTTTAGGGGTTTAAGGTTTTAGGGTTTAGCTCTTTGGGGTTCAGGGGTTTAGGATTGAGGGTTTAGGGGATGCCCAGGGGTTATTCGGGTGAGCTGCACAGACTGTCGTGTCCCCGGCATTACCCTCGCGTAAGCTGACATGGAACCCCAGGAAGGGCCTTACAAAAACTACTGCCACGTGTATCACATTTAAGAGGACAGCTATCATGACAACCTTATAAGAACAAGAAGAACACATCTAAGAATAACACTCATACCAATAGAAAAAATCCATGGTTAAGTACAAGTCTTGTGGGAGTGAGAGGGGAAAGCCGTCTCAGACCTTAAGCCTAAGAATATCTAGTCACGGCAACAGGAATTCATATGAAGAGGGTAGGTTTGGGGGCCCTACACAAATTAGCTTCTGGGGGGCTTCAAAGAGACTAGATAGAGATTTAAGTACATACAAAATCGAAAAAAAAATCTATGCACACCTACCCCTGATCTAGAGAAGATCTTAAACTCAGCTCATCCCTGCCCCCGAACCTACACGACCTTACCAAAGTCCTGTAAGGAGCAAATCGAGCCGTAGAAAAACTACTTCAGTCAGCCGAAGTCCCAACGTGACCCCAACCCATGTGCCTCCAGTGGAGATAAAAATTAAAGTCTTAAGCATTGAACTTGGGACGCCAACATGAAAGTCTCGCTACAAAAGAGCTGTAGTCAACACCATGAACCCTAAACCGTCGGCTTCAGCTTATCAGCTTAGGGGGAACATCGCCTCAGAGAACTCGGTGAAAATCTAGAGAAGTCCACCCTTCGGGGGATCATGGACTCTCAGGGGCAGTCAAGCCTGACAAGCTTTCACAAATTAGCAAGCCCGAAACGCATGTCGCAAAAACTGAGCCAGGCCGAACCTGCAGGCTTTGCATGTGATCCTTGTACTGGATGAGCGCATTCATATCCAGGCTTAGAACCTGCAGCACACTTCTACGAAGCTGGCAGGCAGTTCTCTAGACAGAGGCGCCCTTGGCAAAGGTGGTAGAGCCCAAAAATCAGGGAACCCTGGAAGCTTGCCAGAAAGCTAAGGCTGTCAGAGGCACCCTGATGACTGGAAACTCCCTTTGAAAGATAGTCACCTGCCGAAAGCGGTAGGCATAGGGCTTCTATACATTAGACAACGTCAGAATTTCATCAGCAAACGCTACATGGCCGTTGAATCTGAGGGTGCAAGAAACTGCGATAACGTTGGGGATGCTGCGGTCTCGTGGGCCTTCGCGCCCCCACCGGAACAAGGGGGCTCCGATGCATCAAAAGCTGCAAGCACAGTCCCAATGAGCATTACCGCCTCCTTGAGCTTTTCCCCAATGCGAAACCGGGCCTCTCAGTCAGCATGGTGTTCAGGCCGTCGGATTGCGATGCGGTGCAGATTGTGTCATTTTTACCAGGTAATGTGGATCCCTCTACTTAGGGGCTTTTCCAAAACAAGCGTAGCTGAGCTGAATTTCTACAAGTGCCCGGGATTTGAGGCTTGCAATGGTGGTTGGAGCCCCAGATGGCCCTTGGGGCATGGTATGTGACAATACCATCTGCTACCACATTGGAGGCCAGCAATGGTTTCCTCCTAGCCTCGGGCAGGGAAAGCTCACACGGCTTTTGAACATGTTTGCCCTGCTTGGCTCAGGAAAACATCTTGGTTTGGGGGGCAATGCGACTGTGGGTTTTTGCTGGGGTGCCACCTGCCTTGCACGGTTTCGGCCTTAGGGTTTGAGAATGGAAGACCCAGCTACGTGTAGCTTATCGTTGTACTTGTATAGTTCTAATGAACAGAGAAAAATCATAACAGCAAACACCGCTTGCAGCTGCAGTTCCTGGCAGCTGAGGGGCCCTTAACGCCAGCACATTGGAGTCCAAACCCCAACCTTTCTCGACACTCCAAATGCTAAGCCCTGGACCCCTGACCCAAAATGCTGGTCTTGGAACCCACTGCTTTCCAACTTCTTGATCGACTTAGGAGCCCAAAAAATGAAAGTTCAAGAGGGGGCACGGCTGTGAGGTATGATGATCCAGACCAACCTTCACATAACAAGCCCGTCTACATATCTAGATGTACATATCTTGCACGAATCCCCAAACTTCTCCGCATGACGGAAAACATAGACTCCAGAAGCCGTAAATTCCCTGAGGCTGCGGCAGTGTTGTCCCTATTTGTGAGGTTCCATACTGACAGCACGTCATCCTGGCCGTGCATCTCTGGGAAAATCTTCCCAAGAAAATAGGAGGACCTGTTCCCAACATTAGTCGGTTTAGGGTTCAAGGTTTAGGGTTTAGGGTGGTTGTCGGGGATATATGGGCTTTAGGGATTAACGTTTACAGTGCTCGGAAATTGCTGTGAGCAAGCCTCATATGATGGGCACGTCTACCACTCCCCCCTCCATCCTGCAGCCATTCCAGTTCTTGGGTGGTTGTCAAAATTATGGTCCCTTTTTGGGTACCCTAAATATTCGGGGCTGTATTATAATCGGGACCCAAAAAGGGACCATAATTTTGACACCACCTTCTTCCTAGTTGCTAGAGGCCTTCACGTCAAGCATGGGTGTGCGTGTGTGTGTGTGTGTGTGTGTGTGTGTGACCACC